AACGGTTGCTAGGGAGAGCTGGGGTCAGTTACAGACACACTGATGCCTGCTCTAATAATACTTTGCTCTGCATAGCTCAGATGCAGACACCTCTTGGCTAAACAGGGCACGCACATTTCAACAGAGGAGGGCTTGAACTTGTACTGCCCAGGCATACCTCCGCGAAGGAGCACTCCCGGAGCCCAAGTGGAAGGCCTGGGGTGGTGACAGGGTAGTGCCGGGCGGAGGAGGCTCAGGCCTCCAATGCTTCTCATTCCAGAGGTCCCATAAAAAGAGGCACAGTCATTCTTCCCCGCCTCGTGAAGCTGGAGCCTCCCCCACCACACCCCATTATCATCCCGCAATTTCCGGGTAAGGATCAAGGCCGAGAGTTTTGGTAACTTCTGTCACCCGGGGGTCCTGGGCACCCCACATTCCCCTGGAAGTCAGAAAGCATCAAGGCACATGCTCCAGTGGGTGTGGGACCCAGCAAACGTGAAGTCGGGAGTTGGGTGGGAGGGGGTGGAGGGACGCACACTAGGCCGTGAAGCCGATCGCCTCCCCAGCTTTACCAGGTGGCCCAGCCTCTGGCACACCCGGGCCATGTGGGTTTAGAGTGAGGTCCCTTTCCTAAAACACGTGATAGCTGCTCCGACATATATCTGAGGCCAAGAAAGAGGAAAAGGACACAGGGGGACAAGCTAAGGACAGAGAGGAACAGGGCCAGCGGCGAGGAGAGGCACCTTGGGGCTCCTGCCTGGTTGACTTGGTTAGTGAGGAGCTGCTCCTGGAGGAACCCCAAAACGATGACAAGGAATGTGAGAAAGGGTCCCCCAGATGGTCTAGAATGGCTTCCTCATGGCCCAGGGGGGATCCTGAGGCCGGACAAAGTGAAGGGACCGGCTCAGATGCCATGTCTCCTGCTTTGGTGTTCACTCCTTGGCTCAGGCTCCGCGTCCTCCACGCTACTCAGCAAAGAGCCCAGTACCTGCTACAAATTTCTTGACTGGCTCACGGGATGACAGGCAGGGCCAGCTGGTTCATAAGGGACAATGGTGGCACAGTCAGGTCATTTCTGGACTGTCTACCTCCTGAGTGGTGCTCACCTGTCTACACTGCAGCATCACAGGGGAGATCTTTCAGAAGGATGGCCAGCCTGTCCCTGGAGAACCTAATTCAGCTGGTTCAGGCTAGGACTCCTGCAGTGGTATGCTCCTCTCCGTATGATTCGAGCGGGCAGCTAGGCTGAGAACCCCTGGCCTACAGAAAACCTGGTGGCTGCAACTGAGTGTTCCCAGGCTGCATCCCCACTGCTGACAAGCACACCAATAAAAGTCTGTGACTCAGTGGGCCCATCTATGACACTGACCCATCACCCACAAACTGGCAGTCACCCAGTACAAGGCCTTGTGACTCAAAGTGTCAGGTTCCTGGGCCCACAGCACCCACATCACCTGGGAGCTCGTCAGACCTGAGAATCTCAGGGTGCACTCAGAACGAGGGGACCAACATCTGCATTTAAATTAAGTACCATGCGATTCAAAAGCACATTCGAGTTGAGAAGCACCGATCTGGTGAAAAACACTGATCTAACACTCGATGCGTAATAGACATTTAAGAAATTCCACTGTTTAGTACGTGGAATTTTATTTACAAGAACATGAAGAAAAGGACCATATTTAAGGCAAAACGACTTGGTTTTGATGTAAGAACTGAAGACCATTCTTGAGCTGTGGGATTGGGGACGGGTCCATTGAAACCCCACTGGCTTAGGAGGGGAGTGCTTCTGGGCTCCAGGAGAGCACAATGCTGAGTCTCTGGCTGGGAAGGGTTAAAGGTCCTCTGACCTCCCTTTGGCCCCACTGAAGAGGTCTGCACCCCGGAGGGGCAGGGAGCCCTCACCCCTCTGCCAGAGAGTCCCCTACAGCAGAGCCTGCCCCTCTCCCCCACGCTGCCAGCTCCCACTGCCGAAACCCAGGCAGCAAAAGCAGTCGGCCAAGGAGAACGCCGTCCAAAGCCGGCACTGGGAGCTGTGTTCATAGCGTACTTCACACCCTGGGCCCCACTGCAGCCAGCATCGCTAAGCCGGGCCTCTGATGTGGAGGCAGCAGCCCAACTGGCCACATGAGGGGCATCTCAGAGGCCACCGAAGTGACTGGCTGGAGATCCAGAGGCGGGGGGGGGGGGCTTGAGTATGAGCTGAGTATGAGCCATGCGAGGAGAAAGGGAAGGAAAGGGCTCTGGTGGCTGGAGGCTGTCTGCCGGGAGAGGAACACGAATCAGGTTTGCCAGAAAATGAAGGCAAGTCAACCAAGACCCCGCTGTGGGCGTGAAGAAGGGAAGTAGGGTTTGATAAGCCATGTCCATTTCCCTCTTTTCTGGTACCTTGTGAGTCCAGTGTGGTGAATGGCCACGATTCTTGGAAAGCTCACTTCATTCAATCTGCCGCCTCCCCAGTGCCAGGGAGAGGCAGTGGGGCCCGAGGGGCCCCGAGCGGACCCACCAATGAGGGGGCTTCCTCTGGGCCTCGTGATTGGGGAGCTGGTCTGTCAGGAGCTCCCGGGCAGCCCCAGGCCGGCACATCCAGCCTGCCCGAGGGGCCTTGAGAGTGAGGGTCCAGCTCAACCCCTTCCAGGGCCCTTTCTCCTTGGCTTACACAGAAGCTGGGGCTGCAGGTGGTGAAGAGGGGGTCCGTGGGGGCCTACGGGGGACGCTTCGATTTCTCAGTACCTGATGCACAGATACCCTACCCAGGCAAAGAGCAGATGGGGACTGATAGCCCTCCTCCACCCCAGGAACGAGGTGGCCTCAGTAGGGCTGGGTCTCCTGGGCTGGCTCCCGAAGGCTGCGCCCTGCCCATCACTGAGCCACGGCGTGGGGTGGGCGGAAACAGCCAGGACTGTTTCTGGCAGCGGCAGGGCCCAGGGAAAGTGAGGTGGAGGCAGCTCCTGTGGGGCCCCTCGGGCGCCCCCTCAAGGCCCCCGACTATCTCCAGCAGCGTCAACCTGGAAGACCCCTGGAGGAGGGTCAAGCAGCCGGGCCAAGAACTTCCCGGCGGGAGCAGCAGAGGCCCAGTGCCAGATGCTGACCGCTGAATCGGGCTGAGAAGCCCTGTGTCCCGGCTCTCGGTTTAGTGCCCTCGCCCTGCGCTAGTGTTTTTGCCAAACTGTGACTCTCGGCACACTAATTGGACACGACGTTATTAGCCGGGGGATGCGAAGAGGACTCGCGGAGTTCGGCGGGGCCAAGCGGGTTCCCTTCCTGCTGTGCTAAGCCAGTCCACTCTGCGGCTGATGGGAGAGGCGGCTGTGCCACTGAACCCCTTCTGTGGCTGAGCCTGTCCTAGGACGGATGCCCTGCCGGACACTGTGGGCAAGGCTGGTCTGACCACAGGTCGTTGGAAGAAGCGCCTGACCGGGCAGGATCCTGGGCGGGCCCTGCGGCCAGCAGCCCTTCCCGGCTGGGTGGGTCTCGTCCCCACACCCTGGATGTCTGCCTGCCACCAGCTCCGGCCAGGCTTCTTGGAGCTGCAGCCATTGTCTGCAAGTCCTGGCCTATCCTGGCCTTTCTCTGGAAAAGAACAAAAGCCAAAGCCAAAGGCCGACCCTGTCCCTCACTACCCCCCCACGTACGTGGCAGACAGGCTGCTCCCCGCCGCCACCGTCCACACTCTCCCAGGACATTCCGGCCCGTGAGGAACATGCCCGATGTGCAAATCCCTCAGGTAATGCGGGAATTCGTCACCAGGGGAGTGTGGGCGATCCAGGAATGGGAACCTGATCGGGGCCTGGAGCTGGAAAGAAGCTGTTGGGGCTGGCTGGCGAGGGCTCAGGTTACAGTGAGCAGGCTCCCCAGGAAGAGGGGAGGACAGCAGGCGTGGAGCCCTTCGGGCAGCACACAGAGGGGGCTCCCTCCTCCCCGTCTTTTGGGGAAGAGACAGCAGACTTTGAACCAGCTGCTTAAGACTGGCGTGACCACATGGTTTACGCCTGGTGTTTGGGTGTGATTATGGACAGAGCTCCTATGCCTCTCAGAAGCGCTGTGGCTTGGAGGACCTCTTCTACGCTCACCCTTGTTCACATAGACCTGCGGCGGGTGGGGTGGGGTGGGGTCTCTTTCTGTTCTGGAACTCTGCGCTCACAACTTCCAGGCTCCTGTCTTGCCCTACCTGGACTGGAAACTCAGTTCACATCTCGGCGAGTCTAAGGTACAAAGTCAGAGTAGAGATGACTTTCCCATAGCCAGGAGTCCCCAGGTGACATGGCTACACTGTGCAACCTGCTACCTCTCCCTGATGCCACCAGCGACAGAAGAGCAGGCACTGGCCTCCAGCTCTCGAGATGGGACAGTCTTAACGCATACACGCCTGTACCTGCTGCCCACTGACGCTAGTAAACCAGCACCGAGCGCTGGGACCCACGGAAGAAGGGATGAAATGGATGGGGATTAAGCTCTCTGGAGGGATTTTGAGTGGGAAGGCACTGAGGGACAAGACAGTCGTGGCTCTCTACGCTTCCCCTCTGCCTTAAAGGTGCTTTCGGGAAGCCCAGTGCATTGGCAGTCAGACCACACCTCTCCTGCTCCAAGCCTCCGTGCCTTCCACTCACACCCATCTAAGCACCAGCTACACCAGCTCTGGGGGCTGGGAGGGGTGGTGGCCTGACGCTGGAGGAGGAGGAAGAAAAGAGAAGTCCACACAAGTTCAAGTCTGCTCGGACAAGGAGAGGTCAACGCACAGAGACGGGTTAAGACCAAGCATCAGCGCTCTTATCACGGAAATAGAAACAGGGCAAGGCTGGTTAAACACGAAACACCTATAAAATTATATTGGCCCATTGTAACCATGGAGCACTCACACAAACACATGCAAATCCGACACTCACCCCTCGCCCCTCGAGTGCCTTTTTATTTTCTATAATTAATCGGGCAAGGGTGGAACTTGGGAAGAGTTCAACTGTGGTCAGCATCTGCAGCCTTCTCTCTAGTGCTAACCCAGGGCTGGTGCGGCGGGGGCCGGTTACCTGAAGCATGTTGAGAAGCAGGCTCCGGAACTTGGTCCCCTCCACCATGAAGAGGGCCATCTTGTCACAGAGCTTGGCGGCCGTGAAGGCGAAGCTGCGGTCAGACACGGCCTTCTGGTATATGGTCCGGACGATCTCTCCCAGCATCTCCTCGGAGTTGGTCGAGTTCTGGGCCTCCTCCATGAAGGTGCTGAGCTTGGCATCCACGTCGCTGCTGTTGTTCCGCATGCTGTTCAGGATCTCAATCAACTTGTCCATCTTGTTCTGCTGAGGGCTGGTGGTCTCCACGGCCACTTCGTCCTGGGGGTGCGGGAGACAAACCGAGTTGCGCCTGAGCGGAGCCGAGGTTACCGCTGGGGGTGACCAGTGGAGGGAGGGCTGCCACCCCCAGAAAGGATCCAGCCCTACCTTCTCGAACCCGAGGTCGGGTCCCTCTGGAACGCGGACCTCCCCCAAAGACCGTCTGGCCCCAGGGTCCTCTGCTGACCTTATTCTTGGCTCCTGTGACCTCTGGGGCTGATCCTTCTTGCAAGCTCTAACTCTTACCCAGGATTCCCATATATATTGGCTGTGTGTCTACTTGCCTATAAAATGTCTCAAGCTAGACATGACTTAATGGGGCTTGTAAAAGAGGAAATGAGATAACAAGCAAAATATGGAGTCTAAGGGCAAGAAGGAGGGAAGTACCCAAAATGCCCGCCATCTTGGTTAAAGGCGCCCATGGAACGGCTACCTGGTCTCCCAGACTCTAGGTTCCTTCAGCCCTCGGACAATCGAGATCTCTGGGTAAACAGAGCCCTGGTTTTGTGTCCTACAGAGATTGTGCTGGCCTTCTAGAACAAATGCTACCTACCAAGGAATCCTGCCATGTGCCACTGAATCAACTGGCACTTCCTGGAAGGAAATTTCAAACAACAGACTCAACACTCTTTAGAAGTTTCACTGCAAGTGGATCAGACCCAGACTGGTGAAGGAAGAAAATGTCATCTGACAGTCTCAAAAGTATTTATTCAAACATCATGGATGGATAGCCAAGAACGTGATCACCCTAACTGCTGGGATGTAAGATCAGGGTGAAGGGCAGGGTCAGGGACATAAAGGGAGGTCCCACGCTTGTCCTTGCATTCTCAACAAGGAGAGCACTAGCCTAGAACAAACCAGGGTTCTAGAACCTGCTTTCTGCCTCTAGCCATATGGCTATGGGCAGTGGTTTCACTCTCCGGACCTCAGTTTACTCACTGGTAAGATGAGGAGGTTAGATGATGCATAGCTTTCCCTGAGCCTTGCCACTGTCTATGCCATTGTCCTCCTGGTCCAGGAATCCGGGGCCTCATCTAAGAGGAGTCCTTGAAACCCATTTGTGGGTGCTATGGATCTACTGTTTCTATTCTAGCCCCCCCTGCCCACCCCACTGCCCAACTCTCTGGGCCCCAAGGCAGAAGAGTGGTTTGTACATAAAATAACAACCACCCAGGAGGGGCTTTACACGTGTCATGACATTTAATCTTTACAGTCTGTCTGCAGGGTGGGTACAGATGAGTCAGCTGGGGCTCAGAGAGGTTAGGTGACTTGCCCAAGGTCACCTAGCCAGTCAAAGGCAGGGTGGGCCCCAGCTGGACTCTCAAGCCCATGTTGTTTCCACTCCTCGACAGTGTAGCTACATTTAGTGGAACTGGAGGGAATGCAATGAGTAATCTCGCCACACTGTCCAGGCTGTAGGAACAAGTCTTGGAAAGTCTTCAGGAGAAGACATACTGGTCACCAGCTGGGAACCACCTCCAGGCTCCTACCTTTGAGAAGCAGGGAAATGAATGGCGCTTCCCTCCTGGACCTCACAGTGGCAAGCCCCACAGTGGCTAGCCCCACAGTGGCTCCATCCATGGTGGGTGGGAACTCAGGGCTGGAAAGGATGCTGGGAGCAGCATCTCAGCATCAGGTGTTGGCTGGAGAAGAGGTCTGACCTGCCTTGTCCTGCCTGAGTGTGGACCGGGGCCCGGCTTCTTGGGCAAAAGGAGGAGAGTAGGTGGTTGAGAGAGGCCAGGGAGAAGCCCACAGCTTCGGGCTCACAGGAGCCCCAGAAGGAGGACTCTGGGGAGGGCTGGGGGGCAAGTTGGCCTTCTCAGAACAGCTACCCCAGGTGACCTCTCCTGCATCTCTGGCAGGAAGGGGGGTTAGGGTGAGCATAGTGGACCGGAAGCTGCCAGCGACACAGTCCCACCCATTTGCTAGAGGCTAAGGGACATGTTCTCCTGAATTGGTGGGTCAGGCTCTGGAAGCCAGGTCCGGGGGTAAAGTGAAGACAGAGAGGCCAGGGGTGGGAGGCAGGGGGCAACACTTAAGGCCCTCATTCTCGGGCCTGTACCAATGCAGGGTTGGCACCTGCAGGGTGCTGGGTAGGGGGTAAAGGCCTCCTTAGACCCTTCCCTGGCTGCTGTCTGATGAAGGAGGAGAACAGCAAAGCCAAGGCCTGCTCGACCTCTTCCCAACTCACCTTCACTCTCGACCCTGGTGGGGACCACAGCTGGCTGGCACTTACCTCGGGGAGAAGCATCCGTCCTTCTCATCATATCAGCTCTGAGTTTCCCCCCAAGTCCCCTTTAGCACTATAGGGCAGTGTCTGACCACAGAGAAGGCAGGAGGGGAGAACCAGGCCTTCTCTGTACCCTTCCCACCCGCCTCGGGTATGTGCCCCTTCCTCCCCTTCCCTCTCAGGCTGGGGGCTGCTGCCCAGTGCCCCCTCTTCCCCGCCGGGGCCTCTTGGGGGACCGGAAGGGGAGGAGCCAGAACATGCTGGAGGGGTTCATGCAGAACTGGCCATGGGCCGGCCCTCTGGTGACCAGGGGTTCCAGAGGCAGCAGGGGCCACCTCAGACCCGCACCCACCACCAAAGTGCCTACCTCGCGCTGTCCTCTCTGGTGCAAGAGAACAACAAAAATTCAATTACCGGTACCTTTTCTTTCAGCCTTCGCCGCAGCCTGTCTTTGGAAGATTGGAGCAGGGTAATTTTGGGCCGCTCCCCGACGCGCTCGGGAATAATACTGTCTCTACGCTTTGTCTCGGCCTCCCGACCCCCTGGCTGCTGTGGCGGCAGCCTCTCAGAAGCCACTGGGGCAAGCGCATCAGGGCTGCAGGGGGGTTCGAGGCCGCTGTGCCCGGTGTCCCCCAGGGCGTCCTCCAGTTTGGAACTCTCCATGGTCACGGTCTCTTTGGCATTGCGGTGGGCGCCTGCCTCCCCCTTGTCGCCCGGGGGGTGCTTCATGTTGTTATGGTGCCAGCGTCGGTTCTGGCTGTAGCCATGGTGGGTGGGCCTCCCTGAGGGGTGGGGCGCCGAGCCCCCCTGGTAGGATTTCTGGTGGTCCCTGTTGTGTTTGGCACTGCCTGGCTGGTGGTCACCATGCTGCTGGGGCTTGTTTCCTCCTGGGGGTCTCTGCTGCCGTCTGCAAACCAAAAGGGGAAGACACAGAGGGTCACCAGGAGGGCGGCTCGAGGTCCCTGTGCCAAACACCAGGAAAGCAATCCCCTGAGCCGTTCATTCATTCCTTCTTTCAGCTCCCTTCCTGATCACTTCCTCAGGACGGGACCTACAGATAGAGCAGAGCAGGAGGCAGACAGGTTCGCGCGATTCCCGAGGGTTTGAGTCGGTCCTTGAGTTAAAGTATTATTTTATTAGAACACACGTCAGCCCATGTGTGGGAAACCAAATTCAAAGGAGGCGCTAGAGGAGATCATGAACCCTCCTGACTCTGCCTGCAGCCGCCCGACCTGTACTCTGGAAGCAACCGTTACCATTTTGGGAAGCTTCCAAACATATTCCATGCACGTTCCGGCAAAGACATATACACAGACCCGTGTCTGTAACAACTATCCTGGTAATGGCTTTTTACCATAATGGCTCTTATAAAGTTATAGCATTTGTTAAACAACCGTTTTTTTCTTTTTTCTTTTGGTAGATTGACATTTCCATCCCCAAGCCCACTAACGCAATGAGAAGTTGTGATGGGCTGAATTGTGTGTCCCCACCCCCACAGTCCACATGTGGAAGCCCCCATCCCTGCCACCTCAGAATGCCACTGTATTTGAAGAGAGGACCCTTAAAGAGGGGATTTAGTTAATCCGTTGGGCCATTAGGGTGGGCCCCCATCCAATCCGACCGGTGTCCTTATAACAAGAGGAAATCTAGACACAGTCACACACCAGGGACGCAGGCACACGGAAGACCATATGAGGAAATGGCAAGAAGGCAGCCATTTGCAAGGGAGACGAATCCTGCAGACACCTTAACCTCCCACTTCCAGCCTCTAGAATTCCAGAAACTCAATTCCTGTGGCTGAGCCACTCTGTCTGTGGTATTTGGTCATGGGAGTCCGAGCTAACGGACATGAGTGTGACACCCGACTCACCGATTTCCTGGACGCGCTATTTCTAAGGCAGAGAATGTCACATGGAACAGACTTGAGGTGTGCACCTGGGATGAACCCCAAACATTTTGATCTGTGGACTGAAGACAAGTGAGGAGATGGGAGGGGGCGTTCTGGGGACCCTCCGGTCTTGTGCACAAAGGGTGCTTCCAACTGTGGAAGCCCTTTCGGGTCTACCGTCTCGGTATTTTCCACACCATGACTTTATATGACGTGCAGATGGAGAACAAGACGACCATGAGCACCTTAAAAGGTGTAAAGTCATTGAAAGATGTTTGTAGAAAGAAGACTTTACCTTCTAAAGACTGAGGCTTATACCCTCGTCTGTGAGCCTTCTCCTTGGCGGGTAGAACAGATCTTCATTGCTTTGCATTTTATGAACAAAAAGGTGTTTATTTCCTTTAAACTATTACTACTTATACAGACTCAGTTTCAATGTTCACTTGATAATTTTGGATCTGTGAAAATGTGGAGGCATCTTGGGTTGTGGTTACACATATCACTTTCCCATTAAAATCAATGAAAACAACTTTTTTTTTCATTGAAAAGCTTCCCCTACTAGCAGGGACTTCAAAGGGGAAATTAAAGTTGTTAGATGAGAGACCGGTGTGTGGTCTTTTGTTTCCACACAAATGTAACTACTAAACACTGTATAATAGAAGGAGGAAATTAGTATATTTCTGGAGGGAAATTCAATGATTTGTTACAAGAGCCTCTAGAACACACACTGGACCTTGTAATTCCACTTGTGGCAATTTATCCAAAGGAAATTAACAAAAGCCTGCATAGAGGTGTAGGTACAAGGATGTTCATCACAGCAGTGCGTAATGGAAACTGAATGTGGAGTCGTAGGACATGGTGTAAGACTTGACTCTGGTTGACAGAAGAAAGTAGGTATCCTTGAACGTGTAGCACGGTGCTATCTTTTAAGGTAAATATTTATGTGCCTAGAAAAATCTGGAAGCAGACTCACCAAAACACTAACGGTGGTTCTCTCTAGGGGATGGGATGAGGATTTTTCTTTTCTTTTTTATTTTTGTTTTCTAAATGAACATGAAGTTCTTTCCCTTTTTCTCTGTTCTTGGGGGTGTGGGGGGGAGGAAGAGAGAATGGGAGAATCTCCAACAGGCTCCGTGCCCAGTGCAGAGCCCCAACTGGGGCTCCATCTCACAAGCCTGAGATTGAAACCAAGAGTCCGACACTTAACTGACTGAGCCACTCAGGAGCTCCAAGGTTGTGGCTTATTTAGTTAAAAAAAAAAAAAAAAACAAAACCCAACGCCTTGTTGTTGAAGTATTTTCCAGAGAGGCTGTACCATTTTGCATTCCCACCGCCAACACACAAGCTGTTTGCAGTCATTATTTCTCAGGGTAATTCCAGCCGCATCCTTTCCCCCTCCTCGACTGTATGGATTCTGAGAACACACGTTAGATACGCTATTCTGGACTCCCTGGTCCCAGAAGCTCGTTCACCGTTTCTTTTTTTTTTTTTTTTTTTTTCCTTTTTTTCTTTTCCCAGCCTATTTTCTCTGCGTGGCTCAGACTGGATCAATTCTAGTCTATCTTCCAGTACACTGGTTCTTTCCCTTGCCCCTACATTCTGCTGTGTAGGCCGTGCATTGAGTTGTTAATTTCACTATGAAGTTTCATTTGGGCCTTTGTTAGAGCTTCCATTTCTTTGCCAAGACCTAATTTTTCATCTGTTTCAAGTGTGTTTCTAATTGTCCTTTGAAGCATTTTTATGTTGGCTGCTTTGAAAATCTTTTGTCAGATAATTCTTTTTTTTTTTTTTTTAAAGATTTTATTTATTTATTTGACAGAGAGACATAGCCAGAGAGGGAACACAAGCAGGGGGAGTGGGAGAGGGAGAAGCAGGCTCCCCGCTGAGCAGGGAGCCCGATGAGGGCTTGATCCCAGGACCCTGGGACCATGACCTGAGCGAAGACAGCTGCTCAATGACTGAGCCACCCAGGCACCCCTTGTCAGATAATTCTAACATTTCTGTCATCTTGGTCTTGGCATCTGTTGTATTTTCTCATTCAGTTGAGATCTTTCTGGGTTTCAGTATGACTAGGAGATTTTCGGTTGAAACCTGGACATCTTGGGTATTATGTTCTGTGAGTCTGGACCTAATTAAGTTGAGTCTTAGAACGGTTTTGGCCGGCTTCCTCTGACCTTGCTCCAGTACCAGAAAGGGCTGTCGTGCCTCGTTACTGCCAAGCGGGTAGTAGAGGTCGGCTTCCCTACTGGGCTTTCTCTGATACTCCAAGGGAGGTCCTCTTTACGGCTGAGGAGGGCTGGGAATTCTGGCTCCCCACACTGTTGCCTCCCTGGCGAGGAGGGTACAAATTGCTACCAGGTGGCCTCCACTGACACAGAGGGAGGGGTGCTCCGTGCCCCATGGGGACGAGTCCCGAGTCCTCACTCAGCCTTTCTGACACCACCTTGGGGAGGATTTGGGACCCTCCTCAAGGCCCGTGAGAGTCAACTCTTGGCTCTCTCCTTGGCCTTTGCTTGTGTGGGTCAGGGTGGAGCCCCCCCCCCCTTTTTTCTGGGAGCTTTGTCTAGAGTTGAGTGTTATCATCCAAAAGTTTTCTGCCTCGCAAGGTTGCCCCTTTTCCGGTCCTCTGGCTAGAGAGGGCAGGTTTTTGTTGGGGCTTTTCGGTCTGCCTGTGCCTACCGGTGTTTCTGGGTTGCCGGCTTCTTTGGCTCCAAGTCTGGGATCTGTGAGGCCAGGAAGAAAATCAAGCAAGTTACTACTCTATCATTCCTTGGGCGCCACGGTCCCCATCCGGTCTGCCTTCTCTCCAACCTTTTGGAGTCCTCTTATGCTTGTTTTCATGTAGAATGTCCAGGGTTTCTAGTTGTCTGTATTTATTTTAATAATTTAAGAGTCATTACAGAAACATCTACGGAAGCCTGGGACGTGTCACGGAGTCTGGCTGTCTGGGTGTGACCTGGGCCCTTCTCAGGAGGCCCGCATGGTATTTTTCATCCTTGATGTCCAGGTTCAATCTCATTGGGTCTGAAGCCCCATCCCTGGGGCCACGCTGGCCTGATCCTCGGGTGCAAGAGGCATCCCTTCCTCCCCACACCCCTCCCCTCTGCCGGCATGTCTACAACTCTCAGTTTTATTCCCCAGTGGACTCATTCTAAAAAGCAGGGAGCAGCAAGGTACCACAGCTCTAAGTTTTGGAAGACAGTCAATTTGCATTCACCGAGGGGCAGGGCTCATGAGTAAGGCACCCAGGCAAGTGCTGGGCCCCGTCCGCAAAGTGAGTCACTGGGTCAGCTTCTTTCCAGGATCACCAACTGGCCTTCAGACTGCCCAGACCTAAATCCAGATGCCTGAGCCACAAGTCGGCTCGGAAGCCAGCAGCCCTCACCTGAGGGGCACAGACCTCCTCCATCTGGAGAGAGCCAGAAGCCTGGAGCCGGGAGGAATTCCATGGCCCTCCCACTCCTCAGGGTGTCATACGCCTGTGACATTTTGTGAATTCTCCCTGCTTTTATTTTTCAGTGACTTTCAAGTAATTCGCCCTCTCTCCTTCCACTCTCTTTGTTCTCAGAGTATGAGTAATTTTTAAGCCCAGAGAAGAACCTTGGAAATTCCCTGGCAGATAATGCTTGATTGTCACGACTTTTCCCACCCTTATTTAGAAAATTTGTGGTGCCTGCAGCTACGGCCCAAGGAATGCCCCCAAACGATGGTTGACCTAGTCCTTCCCAGCATTTGTCTTAAAACTGTCTGGCTTCCCACTTGCCATATCAGGGATTTCCCTGTCTCTGCCCAACATCCTCCCTCCTTTCCCCCACAAAACAAAACAAAACAAAACAAAACAAAAAAAAAAAACAAACAAAACAAAACTTCTCTCCACCTGGAGGAAGGAGGTAATTTCGACATGGTTGGTGGTCAAGGGCTCAGAAGAAAGCAGCTAGGTCTTGTAGACATTCTGCTGTTCTTGCTGGAAATTTTGGAGGGCCTGGAATTCCATGTCATCCTAGTTTGCCAGACCTTGG